ACGACTGATCAATACGTTTCCAACTGGGATATTATATTTTCCGCTTGATGTTTATATACTATAACACTTGATATAATATCCTCGTGTTATATACCATAATTTCTACTAGTTTAGTTGGAAGAGATAGCGTTACTATTTATTCCAGTGGAATAGGAACGAGATTTCATTTTTATAGAATTAAAAATTTATTTTATAATTTAAATTTAAAATTAAGTAAACAGAATAAAATTATCTTAAACAGATCATTGTTTGACTATTAGTTACTTAAAACATACAATTGAAAAGAAACATGATTATTCGGTGGCTATAATATAAAAATATCCACACATATTCATGCATTATCTGTTTGAGATTTTGAATAAAAAAAATTTGAAATGACATTTTGTCTGATTTTATCTTAACATTAATCCCCAAACAGGTTTTAAAAACACTGAAAATGCATGACTAAATCTTTTTGGAATACTGAGTTGTTACCCTGTATTCTGCGATACTTTCACAGAAGCCAAACGTTTTCCAGAAATAATTTTCTCAATCTTTTTGTACGTAATTAATCGCTTATGCAAATAATGTAAATTTTTAAACAAACGTTGCATTTGAGCATTTCAGGATTAATCCTACTGCGGCAGACATTGGATATCACAAAGATACCAATTACAGTTACAACAACGAAACTCTCTAAGTCCATTAAGTATAATTTCACTTTTTTATCGAATCATATTTTTTACAAGGGATGCGAAGCGAACAATAAATTCGAATTCTTGAACTTATAAATATGTGTGTATATGCAATTGGAAGGGCAGAGTGAGTTTGCATAAAACAAAGTATCTGGATGCTGTGAGCAGATACATGTGCATGTAGGTTGTGTGTCGTGCGTGTGAAAGTTTAGCAGTTGATGTGTGCTGGTCAATGGCACTGAATAGCAATGAAACAGAGACCATCACACCACGCGCTCCACCACAACCAATTCTGTATTTGGAATTTCTTTGGACTCGGATTCTGTTTACTTTTTGTTTTAAAATTCAGAATATTTGCTTTTCTTCCGAGCTGGCGCAACGGACTTTATTATTTGCTTAGCAATATGAGATAAGTTCAAATGTTGACATTAATGCTGTTTTTGATGGGATGACATGAACAGATAACAAACACTTTGCTCGCAACTGAAAAGTGAGATTCATAATAATTTTTAGCTGCATGAAGGATTTTTACAATACTCAAGGATAATGCATTGCACAAGAATGAATTGCTTAGTCTTACAATTATAACTTATTGAAGTAAGCTCAATTGCGTTATAACTTGCGTCAATAGCATTTTTAGTTAAGGCATTCAGTGCATAGAGATACGTTTTGATTTGCCCGAATGCATTTATGGAGCAATTAGCATGGTTCTTAAGCATGATATATGAGATAAGAAAATCAATGCAGATGAGTTAAGCCCGCATTGTGATTTCGTCGTATATCTCTCCTGCCTGCATAAAGGTTAATTCTGTAATTGAATTTTTTATTTCTATTTAAGTAATTTTCAGACTTCAAGTGCAAACTGTTAATTTAGCAAAAATCCATTATTTCACATAGTTATCACTTTCGTCTAACACCACAAGGTCATAGCAATCACGCCTCTCTTCATCAAAGCAAACTCAACTATGATTTCAACAAATTTTCTCAAGGATTAGTTTGTGTGATGTTCTTTTGTGCCTTCTTCAAGTGCAACACCGCAAATTGTTTTACAGTAGCTAACAGTGAAGACGTCTTGCTGTTACTTTTATTCAAAGCAGTAACTTTCAACGCTGAGGGGTGCCACATTAATTGAGCCATTGTGTGGCTTATGTCCTTACTGCACCTAATTTCGATCATTGTGCAATTAACATCATATCCGATTACTCCAGACCAAACCTCGTTCAAATTAAACGCGTATGAGGTGCGAAAAAATAACAGTAATAATGATTTATAACTGAAAAGATGTTTCAACTGCAATAATAATAAAATATTTAAAAAATCATGTTTTGTGATTAAAAAAAGAATTCAATATAGTTTTATATAGTTTCTTATATTATATTCTAGAGAGCAAACATGTTTAACAAAACGAAGACCGCATGTATGCGGAATTTTTTAATTAACTCATTTTATTCCTCTTAAATAGGGTCACTAACATTGAATAAAAATCCTAGAAATTGTAATGAATACTTTTATTTCCTTATTTATGGTCCAAACGTGGTGGATGAAAACAGTTCTTTAAAAGAATGAACAATATAAATATAAAGAAATTGTAGAATCCATAATAATTTCAACTAAATACGAAAGTCTTATTAACGATAGAAAGTTTAATTAAAATCGAGCATTTCTAAGATCAAGAATCTCTTTAAGTTTAACAAGCAGCATACTAATTACATTTGAATTAATAGATCACTGACTGATTAAAAATACTCGAAAATAAATTGAAATCGTCTTGTAGAGATTTATCTAAGATATCTCGCAGAAGAGCCGGTTTCTCAGTCGTAACTTGTCTTGATACTTACATAAGTTATGCTGAAGTCATCAACTTTAATGACTTAAGATATACTTAAATCAGTATTGAAACTTAAGTTAAGAGCATAAAATCGAAATTCAATTAAAGAATTATCTGTAGATTTGGAGATCTGTAGATCTCCAACCCTTTGCCAACTCTGGCCACCACCTCTACCTTTGGCATTATCTACTCCAACCGCAATGTAGATACATTGCGGTTGGATCAACCACAATTGTACTATCCGTTATCACCAACGGATAGTACTATCTAGGATCACCATGTTTTGATTGGAATTCAATTTCTTTGACAGTCTCTTCTATTGCTTCATAGGTCTTTATGGTATACCATAAATATGAATTTAAATAACATCAGAATCATCAAAATTTACCAGCTGTAGAGTGTCACAGGCACGGCAAAATTGGCCAATTTTGTATTTTTACTACTTTTTGGTACATTTTGGTTGTGCCTAAATTTAAAAGGAAATGTAGATATACTCATTTTCAATTTGTCACTAAAAATAGCCAACAAGAAACAATTCATTGCGGCTATAAAATGTGAATTTATTATTATATTTTCTTATAATAATTATTAACAGCACTAACAAAATTATACGTTTTTCCTTAAAATGGAAAAAGGTAATAATTAAATTATTAGCGGTTTATATAATAGGATATGTTGCTTACTGGCATTTTTTCTCCAAAACGTATTAAAATTATATTTATTTTGCTTCTAAATTGGACCAAATTCTGAAATTTATTACTGAAAAACAATGCTTTGCCTAAGTGTCGAGGCTCAAATAGCCTGGTTCTTCTGTTGAAATTTGAACCGACATAAGAGACATAATGTCTCTCTCTTTTAAATTTTATAATTTACATTGAAAACAACAACAATTTTACTCATACCGTGCCCAAAACACTCTACATAACATGACTCTAATAACTCTTCGTTATATCTTACTTATTAGATGGGGACTTGCTTTCATGTTGACTGATTTTAATATTTACTGCTTTCTGCAGTCTTCATACCTACCACCTCATCAGAGAGTTTTGATTTGTTAACTACGTTAATGCGTGGCAGTCTCAGTAACACAGCAACATATTAAGGAAAACTTATAAAAAATTTTAAAAGTAGACAATTACAGTAGACAGGCAGACAATAACAGTCTTTCCGGGAATCACTTTTTGACGACATCTTTCTAATGGGAACAAAGTTATAGGACAATCCAAGTCTTTAAATATTCTAACACCAGTTCCAATTTAAATGCTAATACTTAAGTATCTGAAAGGCATCAGTCTCTTTAGGTTGATTAGAATACCACAAATTTAACAACGTCTTAGTCAAGATATAGCCACGTGCTAAAAAACTACTCCTACTGCAGCTTTATTCCTTATAAAATGATTCTCAACAATTTTCTGTTAAAATGTAGAGACTAATTAGCAACCCATTAGCGTCGCTACCTTCCTTCACATTCGAAAGAGATTAAGATCTTTGAAACCGCTTTCCTTACCGACCTAATAGAACTGTCATGCAACAAAATTAAGGACTGTGCCAAATTCCTAGACTTATCAGGTCGGTTCACTTTCACTTCAAAGCACAAGTCGTACCTTTCTACGATTGTTCTGGACTGCGTGTGAACAACATTTATCTATGGTGTCAAAACGGGCCATTATTTCAGCTCAACTAGGATTTGAGCACAAATCCACCACTCCAAATTAACCTAACAGCAACAACAACTGTCATTTGGGCTTTTTTATAAGACTTTCTTTCTTAAAAGTAGTTCTATGAAGATACATATATTACTGAAGTTTAGATAATAATTTCGATTAAATAAATTTCAAATTACCAATTGTATACATTTAATAGCTAAATAATACTAAGATTAAAATTTTTGCACATTAGTTATTTCTGCATCGCAATCTTATTTATCTAAATTAATTTTTTACCTCTTTAAATAACTATAAAGGTAATATTTTTAAACTAAAATCTAATTTTGCAAATAATTTTCTCACATTAATAAAATTCTGAATTCTTACAATCAAGTTTTTTAATTAAATTGATTTTACTTTTCATTTCTCATTTGCATACTACATTTGTTGTTGCACGAAAGACGAAAGTTCACTTAAAAAGGTCGAGTTTCTCTATTGTGTGGAAAAATGGGTGTCGCTAGAAAAAATTAAATCAATTCATAGACTGCAGTCACAAAGTTATTTATCATTGCGAAGACTGAAAAAGGGTTGTTTTCTATTGTTTTACTATTTAAATTTCAACAAAATAATTTATTTTACACAAAATTTTATAAAATTAAAAGATAACTTTGGATGGATATCAAAAGTTATATCTTGAAATATAGCCAAAGCAAAATGGAAATATTCATTTAATCTAACATTTTCCTTTATCGTCTTTTATTTATAATTTAAGTTATTCAAGTCGTTTGAAAATTCATGTATGAATAAGTGTTAACAATGAGAAATAACAATAAATATTTACTTGATGATAAATTAATTTTAAATAATTTATAATTTTTTATAATTTTAAGAAAACAATTACATAAAAATTATAATTATAATTTTTTGGTCGATACCCCATGCTAATCACCCTGGCCGGGTTCGTCTTCTTCGTCCGAGTCCTCAACTAGCATTCGCAAGAATTCATCTTGATTGTCATTTATTAACCCAAGAATTTCCGGGTTTGATTCGCCAATGCGTATGATAGCATCATCAAGCATTTCGGGATGTTGCCGTATAGCGGAACGCAAGCTGCGAAATAGTGGATCTCCGCGAAATACTTCTAAAGGGGAAACGGTATCCTCTCCACCATATTCCGCTAAACTACCGCTTTCTGCAGCAGCTGGTATACCCTCTATTAAATATTCTATGGCGCGTTCCGGATTAAAAAAGCTGGCGGCTAGCGCCAGACGTACTTCACTTTCAGGGTAACCCATGCTAACAATATTTTGCACCATTTGTTCTTCATTACTTACGGCTGCAGGAGATGACAGTGTAGGTTCTTTGGTTGTAGCGGCAGCAGGTGCTGGAACGGGTGCTTCAGTTTTTTTGTTGCTTTCAGCTGTCGATTCTGATACATTAGTCACAGCACTTGCGCTCGATGATGTTGGTGTATCCTCTTGCGGTTGTTTAAGTACCATAACAACCAAAAATTTTTTACTATCGATATTGCATTGACTTAGTACTTCTTCATTTGTCAAAATTTTACCCGCATAAATTAATTTTTGCAATTCAGGCTGCACGCCAACTATTGGCGACAGCGCGAGTTCCTTCTTCAAATCATAAACTGTTTTTGATTCATCAATATCAACAGAAATAAGCTTTTGACTTAAAGTTTTTACTTGTAATTTCATTTTGTTATTATATATAGTAACTTACTAATAATTTTAATAATTTAATTTTCAATAAAAGTACGTGTGCTTCAAATGTATTTACACGGCAATTTTGACATTTCTTTTCACACATTCCTTAAATTCTAGTGATGCAAGTAACGCCTATGTGAATACTCGAATGAGTCATTCCTTGCTACTTACGAATAAATTTTACATATTTGTTATTTTACATATTTAAATCTTTGCTTTTCATATTTTTTATTTAATATTATGATTTATTCAAATTGCTACTGATTTGATAAATGTCATATTTTGAAAAAAAAAATCTATTCGAAATGCTATGTTAAATAAATTGATCTATAACAAATTTTCATATATGGAGTAAATTTAAACAGATTACTTTAAACCGTATTGTAGATTCGGTTACTTAATTCTCACATTATGAATGTGCTATTGTGAATAAGCACTGCGCAAGTTGACATTAAAGAGAAAATACGCAAAAAACAAAAAATTTGAATGGTTGATATCATAAAAAGACATACATACATATGTTTGGATGTATAAATGAGAAAATAACAATCAGCAGCATTGAAATAATTTAATATTCCTATAAATTTTATATGTGAACAATGATAGAAAAAATATTATATATATCGTTTATACGATTTAAACTTCTGCATTTAATATATGTATGTAAAATATGTATTTATGTATTTATTTATGAATATATATTTTTTAGATTTTAACAAAAATTTAATATTTATTTTTACTTTAAAAAATTACATCAATAAATATATTCATATGTATATTTATAATTATTTTTAAAAATTGAAGTACAAAAAAATTCATTTGAGCCTTTATTACTTAAATAATCAATTCTATTAATATGTCTATTATTAAATTAATATTTAGATCTAAAATATTTTGGACCTGCTTTTCATTAAAAAAAAATCCACTCTTACTTGAGTATACATGCTGTAGCAAATGAGTAGAATAAAATATTTCTTCATAGCTTCATCCTGTTGCAGCTGGTTATAATTTTAAATAATCACTCCATTGGGAAATATTTTTTAGGAAAGAACTTCAAAACCCTTTCGCTTTTTTATAGTTACGCATTTTTTTTATTTTCCCAAACAAAGCAACACTGATTTATAACTTTGGTCAGTTTATTTATAATAGAAATAGGCTACGGATTGTCCCATGCCCGAAGTAAAAACAAGTGCTACCCTCATCTATCACAATTTTCGATTACGCCAACAGTTCTAGGGTATGCAGTTGTACTTTTGATAGTATATGGAGTTTTTAGTTTTCATTAAAGACACATTAATATAAATTTAAATTAAAGAAAACGTCAAAATAATGTTTTAAATATTACAAAAATACAAGAAAAGCCCTTTTAATGCCACCAGAAATTTAAGCCTTTTCTATGGCATAAGTTTACGTGGTGGTAATTTGATTTATATAAAAACTTTAATCAATTAAACCGGAAATTAGCTACTTCTCAACACTTTGCCTTTATCCATCTCGTTTCACTTTAAAACGGAAGTCTGAATGGTGCTCGTGCGTATATCATGTGTGCACGTGCAAATTTTAAATTCTTGCACAGTTGTTTCTCTGAGCGGAGAACCGTAATCGTATAAAATATGTGCAAAGCGTGCTGTCGATATTTATCGTTGCTTTTTGAAAACGATTTCGCGAAACTGAAATAAATTCGCATGTGAGTTTACCACCCACATTAGAAACACGTGAGCGCACAGCAGAAAATCGTTGAAAAGGCTAACTTCTAATAAGAGCACTAAACCAACCCTGTCTTACAATATCCTACACACTTCAATAGATTTCTAAGCCTGAATCTCTATCTCTCTAAATGTGTATAATCACATATAAAAAATTTAAATTGAATAAAAAATTTATGGCAATAAAATTCATCAATACAGCCAGAAGAAGAACGCACAATGTCCTACTAATAAGGGGACGTTTTCATCAATTTTGGTTATGTTTTTGTTTCGTTTTGATATTGACAAATGCAGCCAACACCCTTTCCTGAGTTGTCATCAAGGCACCACCCCTTTCGTCTCAACAAACATATGCATACTTTATATATTAATTCTTCTCTTCCGGAATATTTTTTATGCGAGAATTAAATATTATTTATAATCGAATTAAATGCGGTGGCAAGTAGTAAAATTCGTTTCATTCATTACATATAGCAGCCAGAAAAAAGTCATTTCATTCATCAGCGGTTGAAGTACATTTTGCGTCCTGCCGGCTTCTGCTACATTTCTGTTGACAATAAACCATTCGCAGTCACCGCTGAACTACGACGCAAATAAACGCTGTAGTTCGTTTCAAAGTAAAGTTGTGCTTGGATTAGCACTGCTCATATGAAAGTTGCTATAGTTTTTGTCATGGACACGTGCCAACTTCAGCATTGGTTACCCAAGATAAGAGACTATGGAACGTGCACTGTCACACCGAGGACATAAAGTTGCCAATTAGTTATCAAGCCAAATCAATTCAAAAACAAAGAGAAATAAAGCACCAACAAAACAGAGGCAAGAGCTGCAAGCCACTACTAACCTTAAAATGATACCAACAGAGTTCCTGATATAGTTTATATTCTAGAGACTTAGATTGCCAAAGTAGTATTGAAGTTTGCAAGTGGAGTATAAGCGTAATAAGGCAGCTGTATTTAACGCGAAAGAAAATTTGATTACCTAATAGCACATAAAACAGGTTCTCAGACACATCGCCAAAAACATAGAAATATAAAGACATGTAATTTGCCTCTGTTAAAAAAATCATGAATTCTGAAAAGGTACACGCAATGGGAAAAACATGTCTGTTCAAACATATAAACAATCGAACTTATTATTTTATGTATGATCAATGCTATTTTGTTAGTGAAGTCAGCAATCAAACCAATAGCGAATATGTTGTATTTTGCTTGGACAAAATCATATAGAAAAAACTCTAATATCAGAGCAAATGCACACATAGCTTCTAGTTCATGCGTATGTAAGTTTCTTGGTAAATTTTTTCTACTCTTCTTTTTATTGCACATTTACTAAATATATATATGCATGGGTAGGTGAGACAATATTTTTGAATGTGATGCTTGGATTTTGTTTGTGTGCTTTTTTTTCTTCAAATATATGACTGGCTTCATGTGCATGAAATACACAAGTCTTCCAAATTATTTAAAATTTGATTTTTGCTGAAATTTTATACTGGCTTCATACTAAAATATGATGTTTGCCTATGACATGATGCGAAAACACCGGAGTAGCGCAACCACAGTTGTTATTAGTGTAAATGCTCTTAATATGTTTGGCTGCCAAGACTCGGCTATGCCATACAGTAACAATAGTTTTATGAAGAATATTCATAAACACCATATTATACAGTAATTGATTATGTCTTATATATTAAGTTTTTATTATTATATTCTTATATCAAATACAATAGAATTATTAACTAAATTTATTACTTAAATTATATAGAATACAACTATAAACCTTAGATAACTAATTATACATTAACTTAAATTAACTAGAACTATTAACTAAATTTAATTGCATATTACTTATAACTGTTTAAAATAAGTTTATTTATTTAGGATGAGTATTTTTGTTTCATTGCTAATTTTTCTAAGCATTTATAAATATATTTCTATGTTTTTGCTAGAAGCTATGTGTGCATTTGCTCTGATATTAGTGTTTTTTCTATATGATTTTGTCCAAGCAAAATACAACATATTCGCTATTGGTTTGATTGCTGACTTCACTAACAAAATAGCATTGATCATACATAAAATAATAAGTTCGATTGTTTATATGTTTGAACAGACATGTTTTTCCCATTGCGTGTACCTTTTCAGAATTCATGATTTTTTTAACAGAGGCAAATTACATGTCTTTATATTTCTATGTTTTTGACATCGCTCCAAGAACATATATAGTTTTTTAGCAAAAGACTCTACATTTTGCTAATCAACAAAAACACGAATAATTAACAATGATAGCAAACTTCATTCAAATTTTCTAAGAGCAAAAATGGTTTCCTCAATCAAATTTAAAACTGAAAATATTTGAAATTTAATTTTGCATTTCAATTTCAGTACACTCATAGCTTACTGACGTAACCACAGTTTCTTTCTTGACTTATTTATTAAGATATAGGTTTGTATAGCAATATACATATTTAACCGTATTGGTGAATATTCAGATCGAAGATATCTCATTAAAGCCTTATAAGATACGATGGTTGGGGAGATATCTACTTGGGTGTACATATATACAGCAGACAAGGGAAAATTACTGAGACAGCAGTTAAATATATTCTTTTCAAAGAAGCAACCCAGATTCTGCAACAAGATAATGAACATGCGAGATTCGAGGACAACCGGTTGAATTTCGAAGCACTTAGTCTAACCTTGGCTAAAAAGATCATTATGAAATAACATAATAGACTTTTAAGCTTTTAATGCAAACATTATTATAAACTAAAATTCGTGTTTTTTTTATTACAACACCTGTATAACTGAACACAGTTGTTGATTTTGATTAAGATAGTAAAATTTATTCTATATTCTTTAGTATTACAGTGCTTGTTGGCACAAAAGATCTTTTATTTTTGCAAAACCTGAAGCCTAAAATTCTCATATTTGTTTTAAGTACAGTTTTTATATTTTGTAGATCTTCTTTTTGTAATTTTAGAAAGAATTGCATTAAAATTAGATTAGGATTATATCAGAAACTAACTTCAACTATTTTATTATTTTTAACTCTCTCTTACCCAATTCATTTTTATTTTATCGCTATGCAAACTACCAACCACAAGGACCATTGTCTTAAATGGGGTGTGATAATAACCATTTGAGTTTTGGGCATTGTAATTGCATGCGAAGATGACGCTACTCACACAAATCTTTTTCATAATTTTATTATGAGCAGATTTGTCAAATTACTTTAGTTTGTAATGTGTGTCGAATGTTTGTCTGAACTGACTGCATGTGCTGTTGTTTGCCCTCAGGATATAGTTATCTTAATTTAAGAATTTTTTATTTCATATTATGTGCAGAGGCTTTACTGGCATACAACTCCCCAGGGTAATAATAAATCGTTTTTCATTTTCATAGCCGTAGGTTTGCTTAAACAACGCGAAGTACTGACTTTCTACACTCAAAGGCGTTATTTTTTTTAATGATAAACTTAGAAGACGGCACTTACTCAGCAGAAACGCTGAGGAACACTTTTACA